ACAGGACTACACTGGAAAAGTCCAGTTGATTGTTTTTAATTTTCTTTTTTCGGAAAACTTTGAATCAATTTGACTGCATGATCTGTTGAACTGTAAAGTGCCTTGAGATGACATGTGTTGTGAAATGGTGCTATAGCAATAAACTGAATTGAAGTGAATTAATCAGGGGTTTGATTCTAAAGTAAAAAGCAAACTTTAGACTGTAAGGCTAAAAGTTCAAATTTGAAGCCCGCTGAGGTGGTTTAGGTTGAAGCAAAAAACAACGCTCTAATTTATCTTTTACCTTACTTTATAGTAACTTATTTGATATTGTTTATTTAATGCATTGCCTCTAATGATTCTGTGGGATCATTACTTTATTGGTTCCCAGTGCCAAGTGTCGATCAGCATGTGAAGGGGCGAAAGCATCAGACTCTGAGCGCAGTCCGCTCCACCAGGAAGAGCCACGAGGAGCGCAGTGTGTTCGTTAGTGGCATCAAACCAGAAATCTCTCAGACTGATTTGACGGAGTATTTCCAGCAGTTCGGGGCCGTCTCTGATGTCATCGTAGATAAAGACAAGGTCAGTTCAAACATGGTGTTAGTCTACGGTTGCAGCATGCAGCTTTTTTAGCAGATTGACTGATGAAAAACTGAGATGTTCCTCTGTGCTCCCAGGGGGTTTACGCCATCGTCCAGTTCAATGAGACGGAGAGCATCCAGGCGGCTCTGTCCTGTGTCGAGCACCAGCTGAAAGGTTTGAAGCTGAAGGTTAAACCACGGGAGAAGAAGGAGTTTAAACTGATTCCCAAGAAGAAAAATGATCCTCAGAACCTCCAACAGATTTTCGATCGTCTCAAGCCTGAGCTGTGCCAGCTGCCTTCGGTAAAACCAGACGAGTTCTCCTGTTTTCACTGCAGTCATGATTTAACAAATTTGATATTGATGACCGACTTCTCTTTTACTTCTAGCAGTTTTCTTGCCAATCTTTTATCTGATATGTCGAGTCTAACATATATATCTATATATTAGACTTCAGAAATCAGATAAAAGTTTCATCACATAGATATATGTGAGCAGATGATCCCAACAGAGCCAGAGATCTCTGCAGCTCCTATAGAGTTCTATGGGTCTCTTTATGGGCATGTTCTGCCAGAATGGGGTCCTGACCCAAACTATTGGTTGGAATACTCTACAAAAACCATTAACCATAGACGCTGCAGCAAGAAAAACCGCATCAACAGCCATTTTATTTGAATATGTGATGTTTTGATAACCGTAAACACATAGATACGCTTCATAATTTTTAAGTTTCATTTCTTTAGTAGATCTCCTGACCCCATGTTTGCTGCTGGGGTCACAACCCAGAGACCGGGTTGGGTACAGTATAGAGACTGTAAAACGGGCCTTTAGCTGACGGAGCGACCCACTTAGAGCAGCAATTTTAACAAAATTGTAAAAAAAAAAAAAAAAGATATGTAAATAGTTTGCGTTTAGGATAAAAAAACTTTTTCTTCTGTCAGTATTTTCTATCCAGAACTTCTCACGTGGAAACGTTTATTTTCAACTGGTTTAATTCTGTAAAAAATCTTCTTTAAGGAACATTTCGATAAACCGGTTATTAATCAATTCATCGAAAAAAACGATCAACAGATTAATTAGCAAAATAATCGGTAGTTGCCGCGCTAAATAATATATTAAAGTTCTGTGAA